GTATTCATAGTCAGATCTTATATTCAAGTCCGTCTTAAGTACAGTCTTAAGAAGTCACGAACCAATCAGAGGCCGGTATTCATAGTCGGTTCTTATTTCAAAACCATCTTAAGTAATATCTTAATACGCTAACGTGACTCTCTGATTGGTTCATGACACCTCAAGGGTGAACTTAAGACGATCTTGAATATAAGAATTGACTATGAATACCGATCAGAGGGCCGTATTACCGTCTTAAGACATTACTTAAGACAGCCTTGATATAAGAATGGACTATGAATACCGCCCATTATCAAACTGTACATAGCGCATGACTGATAAACAAGCCTAAAGCCTGTTACACATCGTATAACGAGTTTGTCCGCGATATTGATTGGCTAATAAATACTAAGGGCAGTATTCATAGTCCGTTCCTATTTTAAGATCGTCTTAAGTAATGCTTTAAGATGTCAATATAGCTCTTTGATTGGTTCATGACATTTTACGATTGTACAGATCTTAAATATAAGAATCGATTATATGAATACCGGCTTAAATTTGTAGGGCGCGGTCTCACTACAAATGCTTTGAAGTATTTGATTGACCAACCAGAAGAATGAATTTTATGAATTGATCAATCAAAGAACGCTTCAAAGCATTTCTAGTATTGCATTGATCGTACTTCTAGAATGACGTTTATAATGCAGGATGGCCAACCTTTTCCTCTGCTTCGAAAATAAAATCAACACTCCTGTTTGAAAATGGAACCATCAGGGGTGCGTTCCAAAACTCGACTCTATTCCGAGTATCTTTTATCCTTGTTCAACATTAGGTGAAGAACAAGGATAAAAGGTACTCGGAGTTGAACGAGTTTTGGAACGCATCCCTAAAAGGGAGATCTCCTTTCTTTTGATCAGAGTTTGTTTCTAGGGGATTCCCTGCATGATACTTGAGATGGTATAAATACTGCGATCAGTACGAACTTCAATTCATTTTACTCTTTAAAACCGCCGTCATCGTGTTGCAAGTATCTCTTGAATCTTTGACGATTTACGTATATTTTATTGAAGATTTCAATATTTCCAAGTCTTTTCATTTAGTAAGACTTCATCCAGCTAAAAGCAAAAGTGAGTATTTTGTCATGTTAATTACAATTTATTAATTATAATTTTTTTTTACTGAATTAATTAATCCTAGTATAGTTTATAAAAAATGAATGATGTTGAGATTAGAACCAATTTAAGTTAAAGGATAGCAGCAGCAGTTCTATATAAAATTACGACAATGCGTAAAATAATAGTTTATTGAAAGTTTATTGAAAAAGAAAACCATATAAAAATTCATTTGAGTGACTTAAAGAAAAGGCATGTGATTGCTGTTATATTTCGTATATTAATGCTGGAAATATTATAACGCAATATATATTTACAGTATAATGTAATTAAAAAAAAATTAAATTGAAATTTATAACGGCTTTTTGAATAAATGAATTATTATTACCAAAAAGAGCATAAAAGCCGATGCTAAATATTATTGCAAAATTGTTCTATCATATTAAAATGAATAAATTAAATACAAACGTTTTACCTTCTTTATCAGGCATCCTCAGTGTTTTCAATAATATAATTAAATATAGAGAACCAGATTGAAACGTAATAAAAATTAAAATTATTTTATGACGATTAGATACAATTATTTTAAAAAATTGCCTGTCAAGTTATATAATTCCACTGTTGAGCTATTGGTCATTCATTGTACGTTTTGCAATAACCATGGAATTTTTTAACGTTCTTACAAAAATTCTTAAAAGCTGTATTTGAATTCCTTCATATGTGAATATTAAATCACAAGAAGCTTTTCCAAACGATCATAGTCAATTACATCAAAGAAGTCGTAAATAAAATTATGTTTAATCTTTTCCAATCTATTCTTGAATGACTTTGATAAAGATTAAAACTTTTTTGTTTTTTAACAAACCATATAAGTTGAGGAATCACTTCATTATTAATGCAAGCTTTCAAGGTATCGATCATGTAACTTTTTCTTTAGAGCGAAAGCGTGAAAAGTGAAAATTTGTATGTATGTATGTATGTACACATATACATTCAAAAAATTTTCATTTTTCACGTTTCCGCTCTAGGGAAAAAGTTATATTATACCCAGAAAATAAATTTGCAATTTTAACTTGACGCTGGTTTGCATAATTTTCATATAATTTTTAAATAACTTAACAGCATTATCATCGAATTGTGTCCTTATGAAAAAAAGGAATGTATAAACGAGCATTTTAATTAATTTTAAATTGAAATTTATAATGGCTTTTTAAATAAATCAATTATTATTAAAAAAAGGAACGTAAAAATCATAATAATATCTAACACACGTTGGCTTTTATGCTTTTTTTAATAATTAAAAAAATTAATTTTCGTTATAATATAATTAATTTTCGTCCTTTTATACATATTAAAAATATTTAACTTGAATATTATCACGTATAACTTAATCATTTACTTTAACAACCGTAATGCAGTGTATTTAACAGTGTATAGTGTCTAATTCACGATTGAGGAATCTGTATATAAAGAATAACACGATAGATGCATATACACAATTCATTTCTGAAAAGATGGAAGAAAATATATCAAATTTTTGTTTAAAATAAAATGATGTGAAACTTATTAATCAATATCTTGCAAATTCTTATCTTTTAATTAATTTATTTAATTAAATTATATTCAATTTCTTTTTCTCTTTTCTTCATTATTCTTTAATTCCTAAAACCGTATTACCGACTAAATCATAATTTCTGTGTAACAATTTCTTTTTTCCTCTTTTACAGATTCGAAAACCTTTTTCCAGAATTAATATAAGTATACGCGCATTAATACATGTCTGTGAGGTGGAGTTTACGTCGAGAACAATTTTTTTTTAAGATTTCAATTTCGAAATTTTTTGTCATACTTTAATGCTGGAAAAGGATTTTCGAATATGTAAAAGAGGAAAAAAGTAATTGCTATACAAAAATTACGATTTAATCGGTAATAATAAATAGACAGCTTTAGGATTCCCTTAAACGAACTACGAATTTAAGACACGCATCGAATTTGTATATTTACGTTATTATATATTTTATTATAAAAATTGTATTCATATCCTAGATGGATTCGAAGGGTACAGCAAATCGCACTAATCAATGCAATCCAACTCACACGCCAACTGGACCCGGTCACAAGGCAGGGTACGCAGGGACGGGTGACAAACCGGATTTGGATACCCACTCCAAGCAATTGAATCCGAACAATCCATTATATAAAAAGTAATATGTATTCATGTCTTACAGAGTTGGCGTTGTATTTATAATGTATACGCCTGAATAATAATAAACGACATGACATCTCAATATTATAAAATGTCTTGTGTATTTTCCATTATCTTTACACATGCGTATTATACATATAGATGTTCCCCTTCAATATTCCTATCCAGTTTGACAAGAAGACGAAAAATTGTCTAGTTCAACAGAAATATATTAATTTTATTTACAGACAGTTATTATACAGGGTGTTTCCAAATTAAATGGCAAAACTTCGGGAGCGTGTAGAGGAGTAAAAAACTAAGAAAAAAAGTCCTATAGACATATGCTCCTTTTTGCTTTGTTTCGCAGGAAATCACGAAAAAAGAAAAAAATATATTTAATTTATTATTTTAATTATTTTATTTATAAACTTTTTAATGAAGATTTTGTTCGAAATGTGCACCTCTTGCAGCAATACAAGCATTGCATCTGTCAAACACGGCTCTTGTAGCAGCCAGGCACTGTTCTTGCGA